GTAGTGCTTTATAATTTAACTATTTATTTCTTGTATTATATATTTATCTGTATATGATTTAACAGTTCATTTCTTGTTATATATCTAATTATCTTTATAAATAAATATATTTAATTATCAGCAATTTGGTTTTATCTCTCTAGAGAACCCTGTCTAACACAAATGGTAAATATTAATCTTGCCCTTGAGTATATTAGCCATGACTTCTGGCTCAGTGGCACATGCAAATTTGATATGTAGCATCAATGAAAGCAATTAGATTCCTACCTGGATAATTTACTAGCTATTGGGCACATTACTTTCAAGGCTTTGACTTTATCATCTATCAGAGCACGGTGGAGTAGATTTTGTACAGTGATGGGGATTTTCTGTATCTGTGCTGTCCAGTAGAGTATCTACTGGCCAGCCATATGACTTCTGAGCACTTGAAATGTGGGTAGTGCAGCTGAGACACTGGATTTTTTTTAGATTAACGAGTTTAAATTTTAAAAGTCCCACGCAACTGGTGGCTAGGGTATGGGACAGCACAGATTTAGAATGAGGATAATTATGCACACTCTATTATTTAGCTTATAATAAAGGAAGACTTTGAGATGCTTTATAAATTAAAATTTATTGCAATTGTGGGGTGGAATTAAAATAAATATTCCAAGAATCACATACGTGCATTACTATCTTTGAGAAATATGATTAGTGATCCATGAGGGAGTCAAGTGGTGTGAACTGTTGAATTCAAAGTTGCTGGTCTGGTATATACTGTATATACTCGTGTATAAGCTGAGTTTTTTTTCAGCACATTTTTAATGCAGTTTTGTGATAAAATTAGATGCCTTGACTGATTTTCAGGTCCGTTTATACTCAAGTATATAAGGTAACCACCACCACCACCCCCAATTCACAATTAAAAAAAAAATCATTCAAAAAGTACAGTTCATCACAATCAAGGGTTAATTACATCAGTTGGTGGCATAAATGGGTTGGTGTTTCCATAAGTGAATAATAACTTTTGAGGAGAAGAGTAATTTATTCAGATTCTTCATTTCATTCTAATTAGTAAAGTAATATTTCTCTAGAAACTATTTTTGTAATGGTTCTCTTAAAAGTATTTTACAGCATACTTTGGAATAGATTCCTGAATTGCTATTTGCATAATCAAATATAATAAGTATATCCTTATCTTTTACTTATGTATAGCAAATATGATCATGTTTGGGGAGGACTTTCTGCAAAGATAGGCTGAAGTCAAGAATCACTATTACTGTCATGATATAAATAATCAAATACAAGTGTTTCAACTTTCTGGTTTTGTTTCTTTCTAGCTGCATAGACGAATGGTTCGAAGTAAATAGGTCTTGCCCTGAGCACCCTTCAGATTAAGCATCAGATTCCTGGTTTAGAGGTAAGTCTTCCCTTTTGGTTTTACTTGCTTTTTAAGGTGCTGTGTTGGATGGTTGTCAGTGCTGGCTTCCGTGCTGTTTCTGCGGTGGAGGGAAAGACAGTGGTGTCTGGCTACTTATTCTTTTGTGACTGTTTGCTGTCTGAAGCTTTCCTTGTCCCTTCTGTGCCCTACATGCATTATTCTGCACAATCCTGGTTTTATGAATTTTTAGAATAGTAAGTAAAAGAATGGAAATTTATAGTAACCAAAGAAATGTTCACAAGGAAATGGACTCTGTTCCGGTGTATGTTACTACTAACAGTCAATGCTAATAACTGAATATATCTGGTTTTAAACAGGTTTTCTTATCTTTTGAAGATGCTTGAAAAACCTAGAGGATATGAAGAGCGGTCTCTGGAACAACAAAAATGCAGGCATACCCAGCCAGAAACCGGAGTTGTGTGAGAGTCCCAAATACGGAGATGGACGATCATGCAGGGTGACAAAAATCCTCCGGAGAAGAGGACAGTTAGCACAGATCTCAGTGTACCAAACATGCGTATAAAGGACACACACAGGGATTTTGAAAATGCTGCACATCCCTCAGTAGTCATCTACATAGGTAATACTGATAAACATTTTATATTCAGATGCCAAAGTTAACTGATTTAAAAGTTGATTTACTTTTTATTAAGTTCTCTAGAGCTGCACAACTAGTTATGTTTTGATTTGTATTTTTCGTTTGGGGTCTATTATTTGCATCCATCTCTTATGAAATTAAAAACCCACATGACTTGCTTCTTATAAATCAAAGTCTGAAGTGTAATGGAGCAGTAAAACCTTCTCTGAATGCAGACCAGGCTCTAAGCTCTTCCGTCTCCCTCCCCAAGCCCCACCCGACCCCGAGTAGAAAACAGATTCTACAAAGGAAAGCTGAACTGCGTTACTATTTACAATGAAAGGTATTTAACATTATCAGAATGCAGTCCAAAGAGTAAATCAAGTTACATAATTGCATTTTAGTTAACAAAATATTTACCTGCCTACTCAATTTCAGTTTATTAAATGCATTATTTCCTCTTAACTAAAACTGCTCAACAATTAATCAGCAGTGAGTCACCTTGCAGCTTTTGGAAAAATACCAATTTTAAGTGATGCCAGCTATAACAACTTTGTTTTAACGGGTATTTTGTTGTTGTTGTTGTTGTTGTTTATTCTTTTCATGTAATTATTTTACTGTGCTTAGCATCTCCAAGCAATTTTCCACATTTGGGTAAAATATTTAGAAGGTTCTAAACTTAATAACTTATGAAGAAAAAAGTAAAATAAAAATTTTCTGGAGTGGAACTTGGGATCATTTAAGGGATATTTTATATACTTTTAGAAATCACAATTTAATTGGGATGCCAGATTTATAGCAATTTGCATCTTTAATTTTCCAGATAATCTGGAAGTTAGCATTTGATAAATGATTTTTTAAAGCAAAGATGAAGATTTTTTTAATTTATAATTTATTAATAAGTTGTTACTGTAATTAAAAATGTTACTCTCTTGTGACTTCTAAATTCAGTCTTGTGTAGAAAGAAATGTATTGAGCGAAATTATGTGAATAAATATTTCCATAAGATACATCTGAATGGTTCAAAACAAACTGGAAGAGAGCTGTCAAGGCTACAGTAGTGAATGTCATTGTACTTTCTCTTTTTTTGTAGTGTCAAAAATACCTACACATAAACTTTGCGTTTTCGACATGAGGGAAAATGTTAGCAGTGGTTGCATATCTAGGTGTAGCACTCTTGACAGAGCATGACTGAAAGTTGCGCAATACTGGTGTTTTTGTTTTTTGCTTTAGCTTTCCTTCGCGTCCTTAGCTATTTCCTTCCTACTGAGAGCTGCTACTCTTCTTCCTTGTCCTCCAGGCTTGCCCCCTCTCTTGCTCCTGTCTCAGATTGTGGAACTGAGGAAAAACGTGTGCTATTTTAAATGATGAAAAGTGCTTTTAATTGATGTCTGTGCCGTTCTAGGCCAGGTAACATTTTCCCTCAAGTTATGCTGTGAATGCCTTTTGTTATGCTGCAATTGATAAAAGAATAAAAGGATTCAAAACCTCCATTGGAACATCTGACAGCACAAGCACAGTTTCATAGGTGCTTTCTTTAAAAAAGTAGAGAAAATATTCTTCCCTGCATACTTTCCCCCTGCTACCATGGACTCTTCGTTTGAATTCCTTTTCATCTAATGTTGGGATTTACAAGATTTCCCCTCTGAAGAAACCCCTCCTACAATGTGACGACTTCGCTTCTTTTCTAATCCTGCTGTATTGTGCTCAAAGGAAACAATGTTTTAGAGCTGTGGTAGCCAACAGCTCAGATTCTCCTGGAAGTTGCTTTTCTGCACTTTTCTGTACTTCTTAGCACTGACTTAGTTCACTCACTCATCTTTATTCCGTGCCATACTCACACCATCCTGTGGACTTGGCCTCAGTTGATCGCAGGTTCTGTGCTGCTGCTGCAGTGGACACTCGGCGGTTTTTAAAACGTTCCTGTTTGTCAGTATCAAGTGCTCCTTGACCATTTACCTTTATCTAGAACAGTGTTTATTTAAATCTGTCTTTAGCGAGTCCTTTTTTGTCCTTGTTCCAATATATGAAAGTTAGTGTTTTCACTGTTAAGTTCTGTCTCCATCAATGATTTGCACGAGAATAATTTGGATATAGAACAGGTTTACAAAGACCAGCTGCTCCAGTTTTTATTCAGAATCAAAGCTGCTGTTCTGGAAAATATTTTAAGTAATTCTACATAATATCACTTAGAATACTTATAAGCCTCTGTACGACATAAAATCACGCTAGATGTGGCTGAAAATTACGGGCAACTAACTATTGTGGAGATGAAATGAAGGTTCAAAGGCTAGATTATCATGTTGATTGTAGCTTCTAGGACCCTTGCAGACAGAAACTCGTTTTGCAGATCACATCGTACTTGCGTATGTGGAGAAAGCCCTGTGTTCCACGATTTCCCTTGACTGCCACTCTGTGCATAATGGATCGGATTGAATGCCAGTTTAAACTCTGTCGTATTTTGATCGGGCCCTTCCCTCCCTGCCTCAACCCCACGCACTCTAAAACGTTTTAAGAGAAGTTAAACACCCTAGTTTTGACTCTTTGCCAGAAAAAAAAGACTGAGCATAGTTTAATATGTGTTTTGTTTTTTTTTTCAGATTAGGCTATAAGTCTGATGATAGATCATATTTTAAAAGCAGTGTTTGTGATGGAAACAGAAATAATGGTTCCCATAATGGTTTTTGGCGTGTGTCTGAGCCAAACCATTAAAAAAAGAAAAGAAAATGTAACTGTTGAATGATCCGTAGCTTTGGCTTCTTACTGGAACTGAAACTTCTTTGAAATGTTACGCAGTTATTTCCATTGTCACCCACGGGACACGTCACTGGAGTGTTACTCAGAGAGCGAGCCTGTGGTGTCTTCTCTGCATGGCTGCAGTATGAATCTCAAAGGAGTCCCGTGTGCAGGACGTGTGGAAGATAGCAGGCTACTTTTTCTGAACTTATTTGATTCACAGCCTTGTTCGTAAGTTTTTAGTATAATAAGTTTTAATAGCAGTCACTCCAATTAATATATTTTAGCAAGGTACAACATGAGGATATTTCTTTAAAGAAAAAGATGGCAAATTTATGTAAACATGACCTACATTTATTTACACGTTTGGAGAGTGACAATTTCCTAACAACAAGCTACATTTAAACAAAGCATGAAACTTTAGTTTTTTGTTTTGTTTTTAATAAAGAATAATTGATTTTACTATCTGCTACCATTGAATTCACATCTGTACTATACATTGATTAAAAACTATCCAAATCATCTATTTCACAGGAGAAGTTTCCATATAAATGAGATGATCCAGAACTATAGGTAAAACTACATAGAGGTAAATGGTGTATGACTCCAGTGTATTCAGTTGCTGGAAGTCTTGTACTTCATTTGGGCCATGTTCTTGAAAGTTGATTTATCCTGAGGACAATGCTGTGTGATTGTGAAGTATCTATTCTTGGATAGATGTTTCTTAGTTAAAAATCCTAGCATGCTAGTATTTTATGTTTGGCCCCTTTCCTTTTCTTCTGAAGTATGTAATTTCTGAACTGTTCCAATACCATGTTGTGCCTAACGGTAGTTAGCAATCTGTTTTACCATCCACTTTTCCTTACCCAGATCTTATTCTGAAGCTAAATTGTGGCTGGGTTTTCTTTAAAAGAACTTGCTACTTGGTATATTCTTACTATTATATATTCCTCTTATTCAGGAACTGGGAAAACTTTCTTCGGTATTAAGTTTCTCAAACAGTTCTCTTGGATACCATAGTCTCTGTGAATTCTGTGCTTAAGCTAAAAAAGGGAGTGTTTTGTTTTAAGCCACAGAATTCCTGTATTGAATAACAGATACCTGGTCGTCTACACTCTGCAGAAAGTGAAAGGCCTGCAGCATTGCAGAAAACCAGATATGTTAATACTTAATTTCAGTTGAAAGTGCCGTATTACTGTACATAGGATGTCGGTATATTTTCAGATGACATAAGCCATTGTTAATTTGAGACTGATAGTAAATAGTTTTGACCGCTCGCTTATAGAGGGGCAAAGAACAACATGGCATAAACATACCCGGAAATAATTTGGGGTGGGGGAATCAAGTGCTGCTGTAGAACCCACTGGCCAACCTTGTGTTTCTTAGCTCTGCTGCCCTGAAACTGAGGCACCTGTCAGGCTCCCAGGTCATGGAGCCAGGGCAACAAAGTTTTCCTTTGAAAGAAAGCATGAGAATATCTTTCTGATTCGGGATGTTGACTCTTGACAGGTACTGATGTTTGGTAACACACAGTGTTCTCTGTGTCCCGATACCAGTGAACCCGGTTAAAAGCTTGCACTACTAGTCGATGGTGTGATAAGCAGCTGGGTGCAAGTAAGAGAGCAGCACCCCTGGAGAGAGATACAGAGGAGATCATGGAATCTGATGGTATTGATCTATTTTACAGCAACTCATTACACTGAATGAATTTCTTTGCAATGACTTTTATATGAATTTTATTATTTGAAAATCATGATAATGATAGATATTTACCTTCTAGTGTGTACATGATTTTACAACTCTTCTGTAATACCTCTCATTATCCTGTTATTCTCCTGTTAAATAAGGTTTCAAAAGCGTCAATCATAAGTAATATAGACAATGTGATAGAAACAACTTGTATTGGTATGTTCTCAATGAAAGTGGAGCAATTCATTATTGATACTTTAATAAATCTTCCAAATGATTTTGCCAAATAATCCCATTGATTTGTAAGTAGAAGACAGGAAACTTGTCATATTTATTCTTTTACCTGAAAGCTAGCAATATATGATAATAAAGAGAAAAGCCTGCATGCTGAAAAGTAACCATGAAGTCACCGAGGTTACATAGAGCTGCTGTATCTCCTCTAGCATACTCATTTACCCCAAAATTGGGTGATGGAAAATGTTGGTTAAGATGCTATGATAGCCTACGAGCTGACTTACAGTGGGAATAGAGAATCTTTTTTTTTGGTGGTGGTAATGGAAAGAGAGGTCTCCACATCTCACCCCACCCCTTCAGTAAAAATGTACTTCCAATTTCGAATATAAAACCTACTTGTAAATTTTGAAATGAAATATGTGTGAAAGTGTCATCTGTCAGCGTATAATCACACCTTTATACTTTAGGTTGAATTTAGTGACATTTCATTATGTTTTGAAAGGGGGGGAAATAATACAAAGAAAATAAATCTTTTGAAGCACAATTTTGAAGATGTTAAGAGTGAGTTTGTTTTGTTTTGTTGTTGTTTTTTTCGTTTTTTTTTTAAATCATTTTATTAGGGGCTCATACAACTCTTATCACAATCCATACACACATCAATTGTGTAAAGCGCATTTGTACATTCATTG